TCCCAGCTGCTTAAAGATACATTCGAAAGAGTACTTCTCATATGCTGGGACATCTGTCTGTCAGAGGCACTCAACAGAGAGCAATACTTCTATTTACCTTTTAGAAATTACCTCCTCTTTTCTTTCAACCCACTCCAAAAGGATTTTTGATACTTCTTACCTCACAGTACTATCAGATAAATCTCAAGTCAACACCACAACATATTGCACTATCTCTTGTAGCCTGTGGCAGTTTGGGATGGGATTGAAGCATTTCGAGATTTCATAAATGAGCCATGAAGACTGAAAATATGCATTCCTTCAGTATTTCATTTAAAAATGTCAGTTCTAAGTCAAAATAACTCAATGATAAAGGAAAAAAAGAATTACTTCGGGAGGGGATTAAAAATTTAGGTACCAAAGTCCCCAAGTTTTTTTGTTTTCTTCTAGTATTGAGCCACTTAAATCTTTCACAATCTATGAACAGTACACTGTCTGCTTTGGATTATGAGTTAACGTTTACTATTCAGGTAAAAAGAAGAAAACTGCAGCAACTGTTGAAATATACGTGGTATTTTAATTTAAAAAAAAAAAACAACACTTTCTAAGATGAAAATACAAACCCTACATTATTGATTAGATCTTTAATTCCGGAAAGCATTAAGACTACAATCTGCCACCTAAGCAAAAATTTAAGTACACTCCAAATTGTCATTCCTTTAAAGCAGCAGTGTAGCAACCTAAGATGAAAGAGAGTTGGGTTTTGGTTTTTGCTTTGAACAAATGATGACCATTAAAGTCTGCTATTTTGAGTGACCTGGAGTGTACATTTCTGCTGAGAAACAGCATAAACACTCATAAATAACCTTGATTTGGTAGTAATGCTAGTCACTGTATGCCAGGCAAACTTGTCCAGCCAAAGGTTCTCTGTAAAGTTAGTGGAGAAGATAAGATTTCTTTTGGAAGGACAAACTCCCACATGTATGTTAAATGTAGCTCATTCATTCAAAGCATAAGACATTGATATGAAAATACACGGCCCTGCTCCATCCCTTTCTCCCATTCTCATTACTCCTGTCTATGCATTTTCATCCCCTTCATGTGTCAGCCTAAGAGCTTATCAAAGCTTCTCTTAACTCAAGACAACCTAAAACCACCCACCTGTTTGGTCAGGACAGTCATCAACCCAGATGAAGACAATGCCAACTTTGCAACTGAGCTAAAAACCAATACTGTTCCTCTCATTAGTAGTCATCTTAAAGGTTTCTCTGCCCCTTATTTATATAAAATACTTGCAGTCTATTTATCCTCGCTAAACAACTGCAAACATATTTATACTCCTTAGCATGTAAGCAGAAGGAGATTTGCCAACAACAGGAGAGTTCACATCAGCTGCTAAACTGTGCTTTATGCCAGTAAATTGTGTATGGGATAGTCACGGTAATCCTTTAAAATGGTTAAAATTTCAGAAATCAAAGACAATTGTTACGGGAACATGTGCGCTGCCTAGGCAGTTTACAAAAATCTCCCAAGAGTCCAACAAAGCATTCAGCACAATATTGTCAAAATTGTCTTTGTGGGTTACAGCAATATAAGGCGTAACAACTTCATATGATTCGATCTGTTAGGGATGTGCTCAGTGATGAGAACAGAACAGTAGAAAGCTGCTTTGCTCCCTGAGAAGATCTGAGAGCCAGTACCAGTCTGTCACAGCATAATAAAACCTGAAACATCTGTAGTCTCATGAGATCTTAACAGCTTAAGAGAAATACATTCTCATTTTGCACCCTCTTCTCTGACTTGAGCTTTTGGCTGTCATCAGAACAACTCTCCAGCCTCCCACTCTTCCAAATACAATCACTTCTCCAAACACGCTGACAAAAGAGGAACAGGGTACGTTAGTTCTGGACCAAAACAGAGCAAGCTAAAACTTTTACCTAAATAGTTCAAGAGAATTAAGCACTTTTGTGCCATCTTCAGCACATCAGACGTACAACAGTGCAGTCCTTCCATCCGTTAAGCAGGGAGCACCACAGTGTGGACAAAAGCTGTTAGAACAGCCCAGGTAAATAACAAAGCAGCATGAGACTGTGCATGTCTGAGTGTCAAGACTACTCAAGTGCTTCCAGAAGGAGACGTAAGCTAGAACAGTCTAGCTTGGGATAGACTGCCCCAGCAACCCTCTGTTTCTGTAGAAACTCTTTTAAGTATGGTATTCTAAAATTTCTTTTGGATAAAAGCATTTGTTTCATATTGCTAGAGTGCTCACTAAATCAAAGATAAGTAAATATTAACTCCTACTGCAAAATACCAGCTGCAATTCTGCACCGTGTTACTCAAGGCCTAAAATACTCTTTCAACAAGCACCCTCCTACAAAACATGTAAATTTAAGCTCCTAACACACAGTAAATTAAGCAAAGGAAACAAGCTGTTTTAAATGTTTTTTATTACAGAAAAAGAAAAGGCTTACACTTGACTTAGAAAAGCAGCATTACTTCATGAATCCCAAGTTATTACAGTGAAGTTGCTTTAGGAAACCTTTAGAGACTGCAGAAGAAAAATAAAATGCCCTCCCTCAGACAGCACTCTAGATTACTTATGTGACCACAGCAAATGCCTTAATCTCACATCACTTCTGACACCCACTATATGACTTGTATGCTTTTCTTCTCCCCGTGACTTGCTCAATATAGCTGGGAGACAGATTCAGTGAAAACAGCAGTACATTTCAAGTTTAATTTTCAATAGTTCAGTACCCATCTGATGGATATTAGACTTCAGAAGTAACCAAGACACAGGCTTTACTCCTAACTGACTACTAAGTGCTACAGTTTCAACAGATCCCAGTGTGATCTGTTTCTTCCACAGTATTTTCCTTACTCAGGTCCACATCTCACAAGATTTCTCAGCAAGTTAACTGGCTACTACTGATTATAAACACGAACAAAAAATAACCACCAAAAAAAAAAAAAGGCTCATAGTTGAAACAGCTCTTAGGAGTGCAGCAGAACTCAAATATTTTTTAATTTTTATTACACTCCATAGAAGGAACAGCAGCGTTCCAGTGACCACTTCAGGGTTTTTTTAAGTCAAAAGCTGCAGGTTTCCAGCTTGAGCCAAAATTAAATATGTAATTGATCTGTCCTGAAATCTTAAAGAGAAGACAAAACAAAAAAACATATTACTGCCTTAATAGTCCTATATTTTGACTATCAGCACTGAGTTATGCTGAAGTCCGAAGAAATTTACAGGTTTTACAGTAAGTGATTTTTTATTTTTTTAAAACTTTTTTAATAAACAACTCAGGATCTCCATACCATGTTAAAAAAACTTGCTAAACACATTTTTAAGCATCTCATTCTTCACGTCTGTACTAAAACTACATCTCAAAGACTCTGCCAAAAAAATTAAACACCAATAAAAAACAAGAAAACTCAAGTCACTATGTACAATTAGCTATAATGACAAAAATGAAAAAAAAAAGGCAATTCATAGAAGGAAAACGGAGAAAACAAAAAACGGGGAAAAAAAAGTATCTGACACGCTACTCAGTATTCTATGAATTCATTTTTTATCTCTCCACCCAAAAGGAAAAAGGTTGGATTCAAAGCCAGACAGAATTTTTCTGAAAAAGTTCCTAATCTCTTTACATGTTGTTTATACTGATTGATAACCAACATCTTTCAAGTCAGGGATCTACTCTGTATTGCAACATGAAGTCAGCTGTTACCAAGCTACTTAAAGAGAAGAAACAAGTTTCTTTCCTACAGAGAAAAAGAATACAACGTTTTCCCTGGTTACCATTGTATAGCATCACCAAATTTACTCAAACACAGAACCTGTCTATTTAAGCTTACTCATGTTTTTTATTTGAAATTCCTTAATTTAGTGCTAGAGCATAGTAATTTCTTATGTGATCAAGCTGCCTTATGAGAAAGACATTATAATTTGTATTATACGGTAATATAGCCTTAAACAAAACAGGAACAAAAAGAAAAAAAACCCAGCAAGGAATAGTTCAAGGAGGAGCAATATAAGTTCTGTAATTCTCTATGATACTGATGCCAAAGGCTACTTTATAGCTTCCCCTTGGAGATTTTAACCCTGGACACAAATTAGTCCTTTTCACAGTCACAGCGTTGTATTAAAACTGAATTTTATGATGAAAAAGGTAAGAAAAATGCATTATACTGATCAATCTATTTGAATGTTAATATTATGCTCTAATAACTCCCTCCTTCAGAGTAAGTAACAGTCTCAAACAAAACCAACTACCTCAAAGGATATATAACAATCTCAATTAAACACTGTGAAACAAATTTACACCATTCAAAAAGGTTGCCATTAGAGAGCTATACAAAATCATCAGAGGGTCTTTATATTTACGTCTTCCTTTATCAAGTTATGCTGGGGATTTAGGAAACTTAAAGACCTGTCACACTATAAGTCCGTGCAAGCACTCATAGAAAACAACAGGCAATCATGTTCTAGAAAGTTTGTAACAGCTTTCCAATATTTTTAACTGCTAGAGCACTAGTAAACACTTCACTTAGAATATAACTCCCACATCCTATATCAAGTAAACATTCTTGACTGCCAATAATTATATTATTACATGGTAGAACAGTCTCCAATTCATAACAATTTACATTTAATTTGAGAAAATAGAAAATCTTCTTGGTTTTTTTTTTTTTTCATAATAATGTGCAACAGGTAGAAGATGTGACTTCTTAGGAAAATCACAACTTGTCTTTAGCTATCAGGTTCTGAAAGACTTCACAGTTCTCTTCATTTTTCTTAGTTTTCAGGCCTAATTTTATGTGAATGAGTGCTTAGTTGGGTTATACTAGTAGCAGTTCATCACATACAGTAAGGTCCAGTAACATGATCTCACTGTTCTGGAAATGAACAATTCAAAACTCTTCCAAAAATGGTATAGAATTGTACCTGCAGATTTCTTCAGTTTACGTTGCTCTTTGCTGATCTAATAAGGACAATTAAGAGAACACCCATTTTTTTCTGTCAATTTCTGAGAAAATTTGAATACATGCAAGTCAAAACTACCATAATGCAGACAAAACGGTCCTCTTTCATGAAGATCATCAATAAATGAAAACCTTCAATAAATAAATCTATTTGGAAATTCTAGAGAATTCTTCTGCTAAACAAGTTAGTCTTTTTTCTTTTCCATTATGTCTTTCTGTTTAAGCTCTCCATCTGAAAGTTCTGTGTATTTTCCACTCTTTTCCTCCTCTTGTTCTTCCTCACTGCCTTCGTCTGTGAGCTCCCGATCGCCACTTTCCTTTTTAGCTCCCTCATGCTCAAATACCTCTCCATCTGTATCAGCTGTGCAGATTCCATAACACATAATGCTGATGACCCCCAGGGGCAGCCCAAAGAGAAAGCATCCCAGCAGTGGTGAACTCTTGAACACAGACTGTTGAAATAGAAATTTGAAGCAGAAAAGACTTTCAGTGAATAACATAAAGTTACTGCATTACTTCTCTTATCACTCTGTGCATTTATTCAAAAATATCCAAAATGAGATTCAGTGTGTTTTCAGGGAGATGGGTAAGGTTTTTTGGGTTTTCTGCTTGCTTGGTTTGGGGTTTGTTTTTTTGTATTGCTGTTGCTTTGGGGGTTTTTTGGATTTTGTTTTGTGTTCTTCTGCAAAAATGACAGAGTCCTCAATTGCAACAATACCTACTATAAGTTTATAAAAAAATACTTAAAAATTCAAATATTACAATATTGCATTGGGGTAGTTAATGTTAACAGGCCAACAGCATATCCTATTCATTGTTTAAAGCTTCAGAAACAATTGTTCTAACAGTGTTACAAAAATACTTTCAAGGAACCAGATTCAGCTACTATTTGTGCCTCATTCTAAAAAATTTAAGTAATAAGGGATCTGCAGAAATGTTCTGTTACTAGACAGCTTCCTGTTGAAGAGTAGCTTAATGGTATAGGAACAAGTACTTATGGTTGCAGAAATTTATGGTTAAAAGTTGCACTTTCACAGAAGTAGAAGCTGCTCATATAGAAACACGTAAGCTTCAATTTAAATTCACAGCACAGGTTTATTTGCTTGTGTAGGAGAAGTGAAGAAATGGATTTGTGTACTTCTCCAGCTAACAAAACTTTGTTAAGCATAATTAGCTTATAAGAAAGATGATACAAATATTTGCTTTAAACCTACACAAAGAGTAGTATTTAATCCCTTTATGCTATAACTAATTATAACAAAACTGTAACGTTTCTCAGAACATGGAAGTGCTACCAGTTTAGGAAAGTATGTCAAAAGGTCAAGGAAAAGATTTTGAATTTTCCCTGTTCTATCCCTTAAAATACTTGTCAGACATATAGAAAAGGAGCGAAAAACTAAGAAATCAACTTATGTTGAAAAATTATAAAATACAGTATTAAAATATTTATTCAAGAAGTTAATTTGGCTTAAATCTAATTTATATATACCTATAATATATACGCAATATATATAATATAAACCAACTTATCTAAAAATATTTTTTAACCCTCTGAAAATATTTGTATTGTGATTGACAAGGGTACCATCTAATTTAATGAAAAAATAAAACTTACCATTATGGTAGACTTGGCATCATAGATTATTCTCTTGATTCGTTGCAGAAGTCCATCACCACCCTGTGCCTGAAATTTCAAACGCAACCAAGTCAAAACTGCTGACACTTTTCAGTTATGATTCCAAAAGTTCATTCTTCAGACCTTGCAATCTTAAGTCCCTTTAGAAGGAAATGAAAAGTAATTATTCTTACATCTCATGATGCCCAGACACTCCAGCTTGTCAAACTTTGATAACTATTATTCAATAGTCTCACGAAAAATCTCTCACGATAGTTTTAAACAATCAGTGCCAACTTGAATAGTAGGCTGGCACTCACTCTTACCATAGAGAAACACTAACAAAAATTAGCAATTGTCCTGATATAACATCAATAAAACTGCAGAGATCTTCTGAACTTTCCTGCAGCTACTGGATATCCATTTATGGATTTTTGACAGCTGTTGCCGGAACAGAGATTTCTGTGAACAATTTTTTCCTGCACTCTGTAGGCCTTGCTTGCCATGGAAGTGGCAAGCGTGTATTGTTTATACTTATAGACTGTGTGATGTTAGCTGTGTGTCTAATTATAAGGTTTGAGAACAGAATATGTTTATAGAAAGAAAACCTTGAGAAACTGAAGATAATGAAACACTTGCAAATTTAGTAAAACCCTAAAAGCAGATTAATTAGAAAGAGGTTTCTATGCCAAGGATGATTTCAGATCGCGTGGACAGGACATCAGGTCCAATGAACTGGAGACATGAGACGCGTGCACAGACTGAGCTATCCAATCATCTTATTGTGAGCATGTACCCTGAGCAAACTAAACTGTATAAAAGTTAACTGATTTAAATAATAAATTGACATATTGCCGACCATAATGGCCTGTGAGCATTATGTTCATGCCTCCCCATCGATAGACAGCACAGTTAGAAAAAGCTAAGGACTAAGCAAAAAAAAGATATGAAGGTGCAATAAATAAAACTTGTGTCAAGCAATGACAGACTATACCTACACTGCCACCTAATTTAGCAGTGTTCAAAATAACTACATGAATCTAAGGGCAATCTGTCTGTTGAACAGGACTAGTTTTTACCTGTTGAGTTGCCAGAGAAATAAACCCCATTTTGCAAGTTAACTGATCAGCACCTGATCTGACTTTTCAAAACCCCTCAAATAGCAAAAAAGTCCACAAAGATCAAACAGAGTCACAAAAGGTTACCTATAGGGCTTACAGAAAATACCAAGAAAGTCAAGGTGAATAATCCAACACTTCCCAAGGAAGGGAAGGGTGAAATGTTAGATTTCTCAGAAATTTCTCTGTGGCTCATAAAGTCTGCTTCCTATTAGCAGTTCACTGGCATACTTTGAAGACTGTCATTCCTCAACAGCCGTACAATTTCTTGGGCAAAGAACATAGCCAATGTAGTGCCATTTTATGTCTGTAGACACCTCAGACAGCTTAAATGAAGGCACATCCTATATTTTTGTCTTGTATAGAGATGTGAATTTAGATTGACCTTTAATCATTCTAGCTGGAATACTACGAACAAAAAACGGAAAGACCTGAGTGACAAAATAGCAGCAAACTGAGGCATCACAAATTAATTTCCTCAAAATTAAAAACCAGCCAGAAATCAATTTCAATTGTTGTTTCAACCAAAAGGATATATTTAAATAGAGTCTAGTATGTTAATAACATAATTCAATGCACTTTAAAAAGTGAGAACTAAAGAACAAAGAACTATCAAATAAGTTATAGTAATACCCCTCACAATGCAATTGGAAGCATGGCCAGTGAAGTTATGAACAAGTAACTCCACCTACATTATGTTACTACATGGATTTGTCAGATTAATAAACCAAGGTACCCCATATGACTGAAATGATCTTCAGCATTACTAGCCATTACCACCCAATGACCCAAAACTGCTGATGTAATGGAAAGCAGGATTCAGCTAGCACAGTAAGCATTCTGCAGCAAGTTGGGGCTTAAACCAACACAGGCTTCTCCTGGGAGGCAGCCAAATTATTTGTTAGCACTGCTCCCCTTTGTGGGAAAGCCTTCCACCCCCACAAGCACAAATGAAAGCTCTGATACATGATCTTTTCTCATCCACATAACACAGCCTTCTGTTTAACAAAGTATACTGAGGGAATAAATACTAAGAAATTATCTAAGCCACCAATTCCAGATGGATTTATTAACTTTGTTGTTTTACAAAAGACAGCTTGATTTTAGTTTTAAAGCAGACATGGGTAAGCTTGTGTCCATTTCTAACATGAAAAGCAAGTATACCACTGCTTTTTGAATCAGAACTTTGCATTCTTCCACCTATTGGATTTACTGATTTACCATCCAAAAGAAAGTATGGTTGAATTATGCACTATAATAAAAATTTTAAACAAATGCATTTAATGCAAGCCAGGAGATTAATAATGAGATCTCCATTTACCAGTGCACCAGTACAAGGAACATCAAAAGAAGCCAACCAACATTATGCTACAAACAGAATAAACCTTGTTTTCTGCAAGAGGTTTTGCAGTCAGAACAGTAAGCAACAGCACAACTCCAGAATTCACAATCACATACTCACTGCCAGCAAACAAGACAATAAGACAGATAGGACAGGAAGATAAAACACAAGACAGAGTAACCAAATCTTTTCCCTACTTTAGCTTCTAAGGAAATAAACATCAACCGACATATTCCAAGTCACAATGAAGACTTACTTCAGCTGTACCATCCAAGATATTGTTAATAAACTGAACCATGTCTTCTGTGCTCTCAATGTGCCTATCTGGTAGAAAATACTGCTGATTGGAGGTATTCAGTACAACAATAGTAGGGATTGTCAAGTCACTGGAAACATAAAACAGACAGTTTATACATTTAAAGAACTCCCATGTAAAATATTGGAATTCAAGTAATCGCTACAGTAATTTAAAAGGATATCCATGAATCTTCACTTTCTTGTGTGTTCTTTATAACATTCCTAAAGGCAAGAGGGAAGGGAGAAGAGAATCACCTGAATCAAGTTGGGTGTTTTTGCAAGTGCCTAGTAACAAGCCAGCAACTTCTGCCAAAATACATGGTCCCAGCCAAAAGAGAACAAGTTTTATTACTGGAATGCAGAAAGATTCATCAAAAAAACCTAATCTCAACACAAACAAAAAAGTACCCAGTGCTTCTATTGCATTTAACAGTCTGGTAACTGATGTTCTTGGAGTTTACTGTAGAGCAGCTGAAAGACAACCTCCATATACAGATTCTATATGCTATAAAGAGATTCATAAAAGCACATTTAATGTGTCTCTTCCAAGAACTGAGGAATTAATACTCTACATCCACCTCTAGTTGATATTCCCAATGACACCTTAGCTTACTTTGCTTTCAGTAAAGTAATATTCTGTTTTCTTCTTTTGTGTGTAGTTTTAATCGTACCTTTTCTAACCAAACAAAAGCATGTTCATGCACTGGTGAAAAGACAGAAGAACTATAATGTCTCCTCGTGGAGTTATAGCCAAGTTCATAAATTTACTTCTATCAGGGTCTACTAATTCTATCCCTACAAATCACACAATATTTTGTCCTTTGTGAAGAAACAGAATTTGTTCCTATGTCCATGTGGCACAGTAAAAAACTATTCTGTGATAAATTTCTCACTATTCAGGAGGCTTTTTCTATTTCCACTTGCTGCCATCTGGTGACAAACCAGAGCACTTGCAATATGGTTTTACTTGAATTATTCAGGCATCTACAGGAAGAGCAGTTACTTGTAACACTGAACATAATTTGCTGCTTTCTTTTGCTGCTTTCCACTTACGCTTGAAATGTATACGCTCTGTCTAGAAAACAATTAAAAGCGGGTGAATACTTGAGCAACAACTTTCCATATACTACAAATTATAAAGTCAGGCCTTTTGCAGATTCAGTTAAACAACCCAGCTGAACAGACCTTGCCACTAGATCACTGCCACTCTAAGTGGCAGTTCTGTCTTCGTTCCCCTTATTTCCTTCCTCCCAGAGATCTCATCTCCCTCCCCCCTACTTCTCTGCACGTCAGTTCTGGTACTCAGCAGAGCAGAAGAGGTCTAAGGGTTTTGTTGAATCAGCAAAATAACTTCCCTACGTGGCTAGACAAAAACCATTTTTCTGCCAGATAAACAAGCTGAAACAGCTCAGCAGACAGTCAGATGTAAGAGCCTGCACAGGAGAAGCAATTAATGAAGTGAGGAAGGTCTCACTTTTGGCAACTATAAAGCTCAATCACATTACTTGACTTCAACTGAGAGACAGTTGTTTTTAAATGAATTTTATTCAGGTCTTAATCTACAGACATCCTACAGAAATACAGATCTTATGACTCCTGGGTCCCCATTAAGCTCCTAGAACCTTTAGGGGCAAGAACATATGATTTATTAACGCTTTGATGCCCAAGAAAGGGATTTGGAAAACTTAAAGAGCTGGCATACAGACCTCCGTTTTTTCCCTTCTTTCACTCCAAATGCCAGAGGAGAACAAATAGTCAATGGTAAATGCCAAGAAACTTAACTCTCTAATTATGCATTTTTTTAGACACGGATCATAACAAGGGCAACTGTCAAGCATCTTGTTAAACCACTTATATATTTCCAAATCTGCCATGTACATATCAAGAACAGACAGCATCTTCCATGCATTTTATGCTGCTTCTCTACAGAAGCATACTTCTATGCATGTCTTAAAAATGCATCAAGAGTGAAAATCCCACAATTCTAACAGTTACTAACTTAACAAAGCAGACCTAAAAGATAAGCTTTGTCAATCAGTATTATCAGTAAGCGGAACTTCTAACATTAAATTATGCAGTTTAATTTAACATAAAACTGCTACTATGTTTCATGCTGAATTCTCAGGACACTGATTTTTTTTGAGCCATGAAAGGCAGGAATTCTTCATAAGATTATTTTTAATCAAATATATTCAGTAACGAATACAAGAGAAGAAAGAAAATTCAAATAAGAATTTACTTACTCCATTAGTAAACTATTAATATAATCATTTCCATCCATATGGCCAAACTGGAAATCCCTGTAAGAGAAATGGTGAAAAAAGCAATGATGAAAAAGAAAGCAGAATAGTGGATTTCACCAAAAGTTTTTCTTTAAGTATTTTTCCTATAACCAAAGACACTCAGCAACGTAATTCAAAAAAGTGATGATCTAGAAGACAGTTCATTTAAGATATCAGAGTGAGTACCATGTGTGCCTACCTGTGAAAGTGATCCCGGTAATCTCTAGCGACTTCCTGAATAATGGACTTTAGTCTGGAGGCAAAAAGAAATAACATTGATAATCCAGGATATACTCTTTCAAACTACAAACAATAAACACTGAGATTTCCCCAGAAAACAGCAAATTGGACCTCATCAGCAATGAGGATTACCAAAAAACACCTGGCTCATCGTGCTTGGTTCCTAAAGGTTTAAAATCCCATACACAGTACTTGAACAGCATTTTCTTAGTCTAATTACATATGCAACCAGAAATGGACAGAGGAAGGTCTTGTTCCTCTCAGTCTCAAACTACAATCCCTTTTTAAATGTTCCACAAACAACTAATATGTAAGCATCACTACACTAATTTTTAATGCCAGTGAGCTGAAGTACAGTCATTTGTTTAAACTTACTAAGTTCATCTCAAAGTCATCTGAACTCAAGTACTCTCATCTAAAGGTGACACAATAGCTTTTAAAAGCTGTGAGATCATCGTTGGCTCCTGTGATCTCATTAACAAAGGGCAGAAGAGTGAGTCAGGAACTCCCATCATCTCATTGAACTCATATGTGCTTCAACTGAGCCATAAATTAAGTAAATTCAGGACACTAAGTCAGAAATTAGAGAACACGTGCAAGTTAAACCCACTCATTTAATGCAGTATGTCTTAATAATTAAGAAACTTCTAAAGTTGTCATACCAGCACATTTCTCCCACAGCGTCACCCATACTCAGTTCTGTACCTGGTATGTTCCACTGAAGAGTTTTTATCATCAATGACTGCAATAGCCACAAGTTTTCCTAAAATAAGGAATAAAATTCTTGAAACCACTTAAAAAGAAACATACATTCTCAGATGGAAAATATGCCAACCTAGAAGAGCAGATACTCTCCAGGGAAAGGAATCAGTTTTTAAGTATAAATCAATCTCAAAGCCAAAGAGCCTCTTCGAGCTGACCAAAATGTGGTTTTCTAAAAGCTACTGAAAATAAATGAAGATGTGGCTTAATGCCACACCACTAGCATTCTATGAAAAGCCTATCCTTAGAAAGAAATTAAAAGGGAGGAAACACAGATAAAAATTAATAACCTACTCAGGCTGCATATGTGCATACACCTAAATATGAGACTACGGAGACCTTTATTACATAATAGTAATTACAAGTTGATTCTAAGCCACTGAATCACTATTGTATGGATTTAGTAATGACTACTTTTCACACTATTAAAAATTTGGAGTATTATGGAAAAAAAAATTGGAAAATTTACTGTCACAGCCCAGAATTCATTATATCATAAAAACAATTTAGTCCACAGACCTCTATCAGAGGAGCTTAAAGGCCAACACCAAAATATATTGATTTCTCAGATTTACTTTGCGAAGTTTTTCTGATTAACCCAAAGATTCTGACGGCGAATCAGATCAAAGTACGTTTAGAAAGCTGGCCAAAGGTTCTCCAGATCAAGCATTTCCTGCTAGGAAAGCAGATCAGCTAACAGTGTAGTCATCAGCCAGATTAACTAAAGCCTACAGAGTGCAGATCTGTTAATTCTCTTCAGATGTCATGATTCACTCAACCTCTCCTCCACCCCCCAAGACAACCTATTGCTCTGTTCCTATCTATCATCATGCCACAGGGAGCATTCTCCTCAAAAATAGAAAGTCACCTTTTTTCAAGTAATACTGAAGAGTCTTAAGAGCAAGAACTATGACTCATTCCCAGGCTTTCTTGTGAAACAGCAACAGCTTCTCCCCATCCATTTCTTTCCTTACTGTAAGGCACTACCTAGTCAATACACTAGGAGCCAACTACCTTTTAGACTGAAAAAGACAATGTAAATAAATTCCAAGTACATCAGTTTCTTTGAAGTAAATGATGGTTTCTCCATTGGATTAATAAAGTCAACATTTTTCTTTTTTTTAATTCGAGGAATTGTTAGACAAAAATGTAACAGGAACAAATATACTACATTTAAAAAACTTGTAACAGCACCTCTGTAAATAACTGTTTAAAATGTAGGTGTAACAATATTAGCTTTATATGTGAGAACCTAGATGTTTCATAATCTTTAAAACCTGAAAGAACTCAATGCTGATTGAATATAAATACTTTGAAAGGGAATGTAGATGATAAGATACCCTGGTGTGGAAAAATCAACACTTACAGCATTTTTTATGATATTTCAGAGTATGTATATCTTAAGAGCAGTACAGATTATTTGCCTATTCCAGAAGTCACTTGGCTGCAAAATTTTTTATTGGGCTGCAAAAAATTTTACTAGAGAAAAGCTGAAGTTTTCTGGGACAAGTCCATTTCAGCACACGCTCCACTCCCTTCATATGTTTTAAAGATATCTAAATCCATTAGATGTAAGACATCTGAACCTGTCCATACGTCATAAAATTCCCTGTAGGTATTCCAAGAGTTCGTATACAACTTACAAAAAACCTAAGGTGCTCTTAAATTAAAAGTTCTACTAATTTTTCTGAATACCACAGGATTAGACATACAAACTTTTATGTTGTGAGGAAAGGACTAGTGAAGGACAAGGCTGTGGATGAAACCTCTAGTCAACACAACAGGTCTCCCCAACACCAACAAAAGTCTGGCACTACCAACTTGAACTCTGACACTGATTAATTTCTGAGATTTAAAAAACACATTCTTAGTACTCTTTTAATTTTTCTTACACACAAGATGTCAAAGGGATTGGTGGTAGCAGCATCTCACCTGTATCTCCAAGTTCATACAGCGTAAATCCATCAACATTAAGGTAGCCTTGAAACCTTTCTCTATTTATCCAAGATGACAAATCACCATCTTCATACTCTAACAAAAAAAAAAAAAAAAAAGAGAATGCTTTTTTTTCATAAGGTAGGCCGTCATATTTACTACTTAAGTACTACAGAGGCAAACAATATTTTTTCTCCTTTTTTTCTTTTATTCTTCTTAAGTTATCACATGTTTCTGGACATTTTGGTTTTAAAACTTGTAAAGCAATTTTCAATTGTTGAAGAAAAAATGTGTTAGAGAAAAGTGTGAAAAGTTGATTTTTTCCCCCCAAACTCAATGATAAACAATACTATATTAAAAGTTGTGACACAGTGCAGAAAGGAACAGTTTCAAACTCTGTTTTCAAAGGTGTATGTGTGCTTGTCATCAAGTTTCAAACTAAGTAAACAGAGATAAAATTACAGAAAGCAGTATTTGTGAGACTCCTTACATGAAACAAAGAAGTCAAGAAAAAGCAGATGCATCAACAGCACTGTGAATGTAAAGGAATAAACAGTCATGTATGACTCAGAATCAGTTATACTGAAGGCTAGTTTCACATGCTAGATGTTTTAATCCATAAAGAATCCAGTTCTAACACAGACCACCAATTAGATCTTATTCACAAGTAAAAAAGAAAAACATATATAAACATAATGTTGCATATTATGTGTACAATAAACAAATTCATATTGTATAGAGTGATTTATCAATAACTTCAGGTTAACAATTATTTGCCATAAGATAGTAGCAAACAATTCCAAGGATAATGCTTCCCATAGGTCTGCATCAATTTCCCCTACTAAGGGGAAGAAAAAAAAAAACCCAAACCAAAATACCAGACAAGCTGAGAGCATTGAACTGGATTTTGCCAGAACTTTCTCTTATGGTAAGCTCAGTCATAACAGTTGGACGTAATAACCTTATTCAGTCTCTTAAGCTGCATCTTCACAATTTGTTTGACTTAAAATAATGTTTCTGGTACATTCTGAGACAGTAAAATTTTTACGAAGTAAATTAGAAGCCTGTTTCATTATGTGTTACGCATTTGTTTTAAAGGGTATGGAAAAAGCAAGCAGGCAACACAGCAAAAGGCAATTCAGAAGTGCTTCTCTTACAAGCTTTCTTTCTCCAGGATTGCAAAAAACGTAAAAAAATTTAAATGCAAATCAAGGAGGCTAGAGAGTGAATTTTTATCTGGAGGCAACAGACTGAAGAGGAAGACAAGCACATCCCTTCTGTGAAGTCACAAAGAATATCCTTGATGGCAAATCTGGAGTATTTTGCTGTGGTACTACCTATTTTCAGAAATGAAAACTGCAGATTAATCTTCTGAGTGATACATTTTCAACTTACAATAAATCTCATTAACTGTTTGAAACTGTAAATTCATCGTATGTGTGATTCCTCTTCAGTAAGTTTTCTTCTATTTTGTGTGTGATGAATTACAACAGTGAGGGAAGGAGTAACTTTTATAAGTACATTAATAGCCAGCAAATAATAATATTGGAAGCTACATCTTACTTATAACACAAATCAAATATCATCACTTCTACTTCAGTATTCCTAAAACAAATGCCTTTCATTTTGTGGCATAAGAACTCATTACTTTTTCCTCTTCTCCTTCCTGAAGGAGTTGCTACTTATTCTAAAACTGGGGAATCTCCCAGAACCTCAACATAAACTTCAAAAAAATATCACCTCTTCCAGTTTCTCCATATATACTTTAAATATCTTTTCTTAGGGTAATGTCCACTTTTACTTACCATCATAAACAAAGTAAGTTCCATCTTTGAAGACCATAACAGCAGGTAATTCAGGCAATGTCACATACTGAAAGAGTTGGTTTTCAATTAATACATGAAAGATTAAAAGATGTTTAAACAGACAAACTAAAAAATCTGAAAATATGGAAATGCAGTCCTTGGGAAAATATCTAAGTACATTTAAATATTTTCTGTCTAAATTTACCAAAATAAATTTATCAGCTTCTGCATATTAAAAGTAACAAAACATCAGTGTAGTTTTGAGAGGTAGATCTCACAAAGCGTAAATGAAACAGGATTTTTTACTAGTATCTCCAGTAGCATGAAGAATATTTTATGAGTTGCACATGAACTTTAGATAGGAGATCGTAAACTTGAGGGTTTTATCAATTATGGTCCCTGTTCCCAATTGGTGCTGTTGTCAGCATACCTGTCATACTGCTATTTCTTCTAAATGTACAGTAAAATAGCAATACTGATAACATGTCCCACTAAATCTGGGCTATTTCTTGTGGATCAGACTGATGGGAATATAAAGAAACAGCTTCAGAAGACAAGGCTGCATACAGACCTAATTTAGGCAAAAGGAACAATGAAAGCCTGCATTACCATGTTAAACATGATATTTAGGATAGTCAGCAACATACTAAAAAAAGAGGTGTAGAAACCTTTTTCTTGGAATTTAAAGAATCTCATTCAGCTCACATTTTCAGTGAACTGCCATAGAAGATATACTGCATCTACTCCTGACTGCTTGCTACCATTCAAAGTCAAAATTCTAACGGCACTTGTGGTTAAAAAAGGACTGTATCATGAGCATCCTTTTAATTATGTTGGCTGAATTGTCTACTGATATGTTTGGGAAAGGTAAGAACTGCATCATTTCCAAACAACATGCCTTCTATAATCATTCTGCATTATCTGTCTTGGAAATAAATGCAAAAGCAGTAGGTTTACAATGTAACAGTTGATACAAATGAGCAATAAGAAAATTCTAAGTGATGCTTTTGTTCTCTTATTTTAAACACAGTTTTACATCTTTAAAGGACAAATCAATCTGTGTACAGATTACGGCTCGCAAAAGACACCTGAAGCTTGGAACAATATTACCCAAGGTGACAAAACAAAGCCTAACAGTGAACAGCATTATGCAAAAGCTCATTACAACTCTAGCACTTAGTAATTTCATAACATTTTTGCTTCTCTCCGTAGAATATTACTACTTCAGCTTAATGACAACGGGGAAATTACCTTCCATGAAAAAAAAAAAAAGCTCACTGCTTACATCAGTGAGATCACAGAATCTCAAAGACTTTGAGCCTTTTACACTCTTTCCACTGCACAACTGAACAGTACTTTTCTTGCTCAGGTGGGGCTGAAGTGCAAATAGCAATATTCAAACTATGGTGGCCTTTGATACAAGGCTTCTGGAAATCTAACAATTCACTATTTAAAATGAGTATGTTCTACTTATGATGTTCAAAAATGCAGCTGCTAAAAAAAAAAAAAGCCAACAAATTATGCTATTCTCACCCTGCTAATCAAAAACTAAATTCCAAGTCACGTTTTATCAGGCATAGAGTAGACTTAGGTCCCACTTGGAGATACCAATAAATGAAACAGTCTCTTGATTTTGCTTCAACAGGTAAGCAACGATTAGACTAACAACAGTAATATCAATTTTTTCCACCCTTGTGACTAACTGTCAATATTTTCCTTGTTACAGACTCCTCCAAAGAGCCACATGAGAATTCTGCAGCCAGTAGACTGGATCCATTGATCCCCAGGCAGACTAATGTTTTGATCACCTGTATTGTACAGGACAAAAATAACTTACCTCTTCACTTACTTCTCTGATTACTAAGGTATCAGAAGTACTTCATGGCAAAGACCCCCAAATTAGTTTTAAAAGTGGTTGGTGAAAGGACTGTCTGAAGTAACAAGAGTTGTACATTGGGTAAAAGTCCAAGTATCTACTTTCTTGAGCAGGTTGAACGGTCCAAATTGAGTTCCACATATCTTCTGATTAATTTTATTAATGTGACTGAACAATTAATTAGGCCAAAACAAAGCAGTGACAGACTTGAAACCTGGTTTGTATTCTTTCCTCATATAGACTCAAAAATTATACGTTTCAGTGTAATTACTTTGGAATCTATCAAACACAAATATACTGTAAGAAGCCATCTCTGTGCCATTGAAACAGTAAAATTACATATATGAGAACAACACCACTTCTGTGAAAATAGTAGGCATGGAAACAGCTTACCTCAGGCACTACATCTTCTGAGGCAGAAAAAAAGTACGTATAAACTATTAGTTCTGAAGCAACTTCAATGTATTTTTCCTGAAAAAATACAAACAATGTTTTTTAATTTCTGAACTTTTAGTATGGGTCAAATAAAAGCTTTGTGACATACCTCATCTTCAAAGAGAAATTAGAAAATATGGGTTATGATATAAGATTGTAAAAACACTTAAATAAATGTAGAAAGACCACATGAATTTGTTACAAGCATACACTTCAGTCTTTTAAAAGATATTTTAAATTACTCTGTGAATAGCCAAAAGAAGTAACTTTACTTAATCAAGCTTCAAACCTTTAAAGGAGATTCACCACCAACATACACAAAAAGTACACGATGTCTCTTTTGCACATGCTCAAACATATGCTGGCTAGGAAGTGGCCTGATAAGAGGTCTGGGAGGGAAATAAAAACAAGAAAGAAAAACCTTAGTTTTTGCAACCTGCAAAACCCAAACAAATAAAAATCCACAAGAAAATGTCATACAGTTTTTTGTGGTTTTTTTTTAAATTAAATTACACAATGCACATTAATTCAATTTTTCAATTTATTATTTTATTTTCAACTAAAAGGGAAAAGAAAAAAAGAAAAATTCCCCCTAAAATAACGTGTTATGTTCCTCAAATAGCACACTTAAATTTAAAACTCATATCTTAGTACAAAATGTTGCTACAGTGGAAACATGCATGCCATTTACTGGTCACAGAATCAGAGACTGAGCTGGACTGGAAGTGACCTAAAAGATCATCTGGTCCCATCCTCCAACCATGGGCAGGGACACCTTCCACCAGACCAGGCTGCTCAAAGCCCCACCCAGCCTGGCCTTGAACACTTCCCAGGATGGGGCATCCTTACAGTAAAGAATTACATCTTACCACCCCTACAGTAAAGAATTTCTTCCTGATATTTAATCTAAATCTATCCCCTTTCTGCTTAAAACCATTGCCCCTTATCCTGTCAGTACAGACCCTGATAAAAAGTCTCTCTTCTTCTTTCTTATAAGACCTCTTAGTGAAAGGCCACAATAAGGTCTCAGTCATTTGAGAGATAAAATTCTGAATTTAAGCATGGCAGTTATGAAATGTGGTCTTAAATCTTAAAAAATTCTGATCCCTCAATATTCCTAAACTACAGACTTCTGAACAACAATGAATATTATTGTTCCTATATCAAAGCTTCCTAATTATTTTTTAGAATGGAGGAAAGAAATGTGACTTTTTTTCTCCCCAAAGTTTACTTGTCAATAACAATTTGAGGCCACAGGCCACTGTAGGGAAGAAAGAAAGAGCCAACAGCAATTGTTATGAACAATCCTGCCCAAGCATTTCCTTATGGTGCCTATTGCATACTTTTCAGAAGCACAACTTCGGAGCATGAAACATCTTCTCCCTTAGTAATGATGCCTGTCAGCCAACATTTAGATTGGCATTCTTGTTTCTGACTTCCCTGAGCTTCATTTGTTCACAGTTTCCAGTACTCTGAAAAGCCTTTAGTCCTTGCACTGTAAAGAAGGTATTGTGGCTAGCCAGTCTCTCTGTACTCTCTCCATGCCATGCACCACCAGCCTCACATGCAGTGACACATAGAGTGATAGGCATCAATAGAACATATAGTTTTTTACTTTGTGTCAGTATCTTGTTCTTTTTTAAACAGATTTAATTCTTGGCTCAAAATCCTACGTAAGTTTTAAGTCAGCAGAACCAGTTTCACAGAAGAGTATACTTACCCTGCCACTCTATTAGCAAATTCAACTATATCATCTTTGGTTCTAGGTCCTCTATAGTTGTATGCCAAGTCACCTTTTAAGCTAGATAAATGGGAAAGACAAAAAAAAAAAAAACAGAACTGAAATGACCTAAACTACATTTGTACATGCAGAATTACTCAATCTTCATAGGTTTATTACAGTCACCTTTTAATGAGTGAGAAGCAAAAGAAGTGGTCAGCAAAATATAAAACCCAATAATGCAATACAACGCAATTATGCAGTAAAAAATTATTTACACAGTATCTGATTTATTGACTTTCTGAAATAATTAGCATTCTTTTACATTTATTTTTCTAGTGCACAGCAGTCATTTACTCTGTAAGCACACAGATAACTTAGAACATTTGCTTATGACTGTATAAAAAAATCCCACCCCACACCCAAATCAAACCCCAAACACTCAACATTTATACTACTGAGGTATTAGTCTTTATAAAAGACAAACATATAAACTTGTTGTTTTTTGTTTGTTTTTTTTTTAATAATTGAAAGGTATCAAATAACCTGCAAAACCTTCCAAATGTATGTATTAAATTAAGCTTACATGAAGTGTTGCTCAGCTTATGGTACTCTGCTGACAGGGGACGTAGCACACTTGCATTATTAGAGTATTCCAGTAATTTTCACTAATTCTAAGAGGCTTTCTTTAAATCCATATAGGTTTAGGAAACTCACAGGAAAGAAGAAATGATACAGTGAGTTTTCAATGCCTCTATATGCCAATAAAATTTTTCATCCTTAAAGATTAATAAGTTAAATATCTCTTGTTGCCTTCTTGTCACTTTGACAAGATTCATTATTACATATTATGAGTATTATTTGCTTTAAAAAAAACCTGCTAAAACCCCCGGTCTGTTCACAGTAAAAAGGACCCAAAATTACTGTGTCTTAATATTTAATATGACCTTGTACTGGACTATAAACTACATGTGTTATAAGCAAGTACATAGAATATCATTATGGACTGATATTTTCCTATAATTTTTGTCCTCCACTGCCTTTTTTAAATTAGGTGAAGAAAAAAATCTACACATACTTTTCTTGTTAAACAACTTTTCTCACCCTTCACCCTACACAGTAACTACTACTGTCATTTACATAAGGTTTTTAAGGTACACGGGAGAGAAGAGAGAGGTAGTTGAAAATAAGAAAATGCAATCAGCAGCTTACAAGCAGTTAACAGGAAGACTCAGCTATGCACTTACTGCCTGAATCACTCTAAAGATGTCAAATCAAGTGGAGGAAGGAATTCCTTTTTATAATAGTTGTGTGTATATATATTTGAAAGACATATTTATGTACACACACTTCTACATAACTGCATCGAAAACAGGAGTTAAATGAAATCCAATTTGTTAACCTGCCTATTAAGAATTCTGTTTCTAAATAAGATGATGGATATGACTGAATTTCACAGCAAAACAGTCCAGTAGAAATCAAAGACAATGCCACCATGAGATGGTGAAGTGGTTTTTTGGGGTTTTTCTTGGTTTGGGTTTTACAGATTTTTTGTGATTGTTTTGTTTGAGATTTTTAAATGAACAAGGCTATGTTTTCTTTAGTGTCATCAAATCAGTGTCAGAAATTCAATAGGAAGCATCAACTTACAGCTTAATTGTTGGATAGCCTCGTACACCAAATTCAGATGCAATACCTGAAAGAAATATGTTAATGCCAAAGTGAACCAAGACTTTCTTGCTCTCCTACCTCCTCTTAATCTTTAAACATAGTTTACTATTCAAGCCACAATAACAAATGAAAGAACTCCCACTTAGTTTAATATGAATTATTTTACTTGCTTTCAAGGAGCTGCTGTTATTAAGCTACTACATTTTGGACCTCTTAAAGAAGTGCTGAAGGGTCCCAGCATAGGCTCTCAATTCATGTGCCACAACTCAAATGCCATGAGAATCCTCTAAATAGACATGCTTGACCTGTTCTAACCAAAAGGTACCATGCATTTTAAAATACATACACAACTGACTGAAAATACTAGAGGCAAGAATTGAGCAACAAGGATGTACAATAGTAAATAGTAATGCTTGAAAGAAATACAAGACATGTGACATATAGTTACATGCTACAGTAATGCCTAACAACAGAAGTGCAGTATCATACTGCAGTAGTTACAAAAAAGGTTTCACATCTGCATTCTGCAGACATAAATGAACCTCACCAGACACAGACACTTTCTAAGCAATCAGTTATTTACCTGCTGCTTACTAAAGTGGTGAAAAGCAAAACAACTGCAGAACTTTTTCCCCCACCTCAGGTTTGTTTAAAACCTTGTATCTTGCTACCATCTATTATACGAGTACAATTTGCAACTACCATCTTAAACTACACTTTTCAGTCAATTCAGTGTTTTCCAAAAGTTAAACTAAGTAGTCTTCAAAAAAGGCTAAAATTAAGTATAAAATTCTGACAACACTTGTGCAATTCCCTATTGAATAACAATTCCCGCACTCAAAAAGCACGAAGAGTCAATACCTATAACAAACATTCTAAAGCTACCAACCATATGTCAGAGCAAGCAGATGTGGGAGGACTTGTGTGCAGGGCTCTCAGTAACAGTTTAGGAACTGTGACCCTAGGGTTGTTTGCCTGGATCAGTGCCTTACTGCACAGCACTACAAATAAAACTAGCAGCTCACCTACAGGTATCTTAGTCAAAGACGACTGTTCTAAGAAATACGGGTACTAGGATCAATTTTATTCTGATCCTTTTCTCTCACAGCTCTACTACATAGACTTAAAATGCATTAAAATGTATATTAGAACATTTAATCACAAGAGCTGACAACAGAGTTTATTTCTCCTTCTACAGCTCTCATGCATGGACAGGAGAACTAGAAAACAGCCAATTTTTAATACATTATTTTTAAATCTCCCAGCCTTGGAGATTACCAAAATTCTCTCAACATCCTGAAAGAGAAATACTATTTAAACCATCACCTCCACTTCTTGATATAAAGAACGCAGTACAGGCAAACAGCAGCAGTTGTGCCAGCCTGAGGCGTGATGTGTTTCTACTCTGATCACATTCAGTTGACTTTGAGGCAAACCCCCCTGAAAATTCAACTGATAACACAACAGGTGACCTCTCTTGATAAAACTCCTGTGTCCTCATAACGCAGAGCCACCTGAGGCAACACTTACTGGATGATTTATATGTTCACCTGTGATTTCAGCTCTCTGACAACAGGCTACCCATAGTTCAGATTTTTCACACTACTTCCTATTCCAACTAGGAACACAAACTATGCAGAGCCAACCATTCATGTTCCTTCCTGGTTACATGTCCACAAGTTCCAGCTGCATTTCCTCCTGATATTCTCAAGACTGAATTACTTTGATTTCACAGAATCTTTAGATTGGAAAGATATCAAGCAGAACTGACTTGAGCTTTTCATATCCAGATGTTATAAAATTTCCACTTTCAAAATAAAAGTACAAAACTATTTCAAGAGATTTATTGGACATTCTATTTTATAAAATTGGTAACAAATTTGAGTAGAAAGACTTTTCCAGGGCAAAAAGGAACCCTTGCAGCTTTCAGTAATTTTTATATGTGCAAAACTGAATCATAGAACTAAAACAATGTGCCAATTCTGTTCTAGGTATAAAATATAAGAATTTAGCATCAGGATGACAGATGCAAATATTTCAGGGTAAGAGTTCATACAATTTATATGATTTAGAATTTTATATATATGACTGGAAAGCTAGAGATCCATGAAACGAACTTGAAATTTCTAATGCTCCAGACTTACTATAGCAAATAAGTATCTTTAAGATGAAACAAAATTTCTGTGGTTTTACAGAAAAAGCTGCATACAATAAATTGGTGTTTGAGACAAAATCATTTTGATCTCAAAAGACCAAACTCTGCTACAGGTAAGCAAAGAAAAACTGGAATATCACTCAAAAAAGTATTCTGCATAATATTTTAGGCAAATACAACAAAGCTGAATAACCAGATTTAATGGGGATTAATTAAAAATGTTACATGTATTTACAAAATTTCATTACATATAGATCTCCATTGGGCCCCACTCCTCCCTATGCCTTCCCTCTTAAATATCCTCCTGGTTCAACACAGATTCAAGTGAAATGACAATAAAAAAGCATATGAAAACAAATAAAATACTGTTAAGCATTCAACAATCCTCTCACATCTACCCAAACCACTTCTCTGAATACCTAAAGTTTTGGGTTTTCTCTGAGAAGGTCAATACATAGGAAAAGCAAAAAAGAAAGCCTTAGAGCTAAATTTGGTTCTTCAAGAAGACATTTAGGGAGAAAGATGGGAAGAAATTGGCTCAAGAGTAAATTCAAAGATTTCAGCAGGCTTTCTGTAACAGCTTAAGGACCGATTACCTGAAAAGAATAACAGCGAGAACACAAAGCACTTCTCCAACAGTAATACAAGGAACCTAAAACTGGATGCTGTCAAGAGACGCAGCACATAAAATGCTTATATAAGTACTCTAAGAGGCGTATCAAAAGCAGATCTTTGAAAAGCTTTTACCTTCCATTTGTCAGGAAGAATTCCCTACACAAGCAGAAACGAATGTGATAAAAACTGCATACTACAGCAAGTTGTCACTTTTAGAAAGAAAAAGATGGGGAAATTGTTCTCCAATGACTGTTTGCATACTTGTGCTAGGATACAGAACAGAAGAATAACTTAATGAAAAAAACTAACAGTCTCAAAACAGAGTCTGCAATGAAATTACTCCTAACCAAACCATACTTACTAGAAAAGGAAGTTGCATCCATCTTCCCAACTTTTACTGGAGAGCCCATGTTTCTCATTTCTATGCCCACTTCATTCCACACAGGCTCTAGTTTCTTGCAGTGGCCACACCAAGGTGCATAAAACTGAGAAGCAAAAATATTTTATTAAAAAAAAAAAAAGTTAGTAGAAGTTGATTCTACAACTAACCCTCAAATCATTAGCAAGGCTTATTTTCCAGTCATGGTTCTCCTTATGTCTTAATAAAATTGCAAGTTAATTACAAGGCTAGCATGACATGCAGTATTTATGATTTGGTCCTACTTTTAAGATGAAAGCACAAGTTTGAAAAGAATACATTAAATTGTTGCACTATTACATTATTTCTTATTTAAAAATAGACGGTGTGGTAACATTTTTAAAAATCTTTTGGAATATTTTCCTCTTTTCTTTGAAAGATAAAAGATCATGTAAACAATCTATCCAGGATTATGGAAATATCTGTCAATAGCAGAAGGGCAATAGATACTATACCTACTTCCCCAAACTGTCCTCTGGATTTCGGTTCTTCAGCAACTACTTTTATAGAAGCACAGTGAAAAATTGATCCCATTTTCTCAGGACCAAGCAGAGCTGAGAGACTTTATTTCACCTTTCTGCCTATGTCTTGCTGCAACACCTCAGTGAAATTAATAGGGAAGATATCGATGTTTTGGTATAACAAGATCGGGTTACAACCTGACAAAGTTGAATTTTGTTTTGTTATACTTTACTGATAACTCTGAATCAGCACATTTAGTTTTTCCCCACTCAAAAATAACAACTCTAAATAATACAGTTTTGAGCATTACAGTACATATTTAGGTGAGATAAAAGGAATTTTACCTCATCCACAAACAAGCTCAATCTTTTTAGCAATTCCTTGTCCCTGAAATAAGGAGCACCAAAACTTTCCAAATAAGTTAGAAAAGTAAATGAAGCCTTCCATGTATTTGATCTTGCAGTGCTAATAAATGTCTAGAACACCAATTAGCTGGTATAATTAGAGAACGGAACCATAACAATTTTGAAAAGAGGTTATCACCTCCTGATTGTGTTAGGTAACCTGCTTTCTTTTTTTAAGGACTGCAAAATATAGGATGAAGCCTCTCTGCATGCAGTATTCAGCCTATTCCTGGTTCACCCTGAACAATATAGATTGCTTTTCCATCCTGTCAGAATTACTGTCATGAAATTTTTCTGCATCATGCACAAACAATTTTCCAAACGATGAAGCAACCTTACTACAAAGTGTAGCATTGTACATCCTATCTTTTGATTTCCACTAGCAGATCTTCCCATTTTTCTCATATACTCACATCTACGAGCCAAATATCATCTTTACGGTTTTCTTTAAACCTAAAAAGGGAAAAAACAAAATCAACAAATCTGAAAATGAAACAGTGAAGTGCATGTGCGAAACAAGCAAAATCCACAATTAAGATTCTTTCTTTGGGTGTGAAGAAATAGAGGAGATAAGATTTTCTAATATTAACAATGCCCCTGCACATGCAACAACACACACAGATGTAGGTTCCTATAATTACTTCCCAAGACAAAACAAACAAACAAACAACAACAACAAAAAACAACAAGAAATAAGAATACATACGAAAGATATTTGATTATCATATCATATGTATTTTAAGGGGAAGAAGTATTTTGCAGTTGTCTTAGTGATATTAAATATTGTACACTGTTGTATTTTTACAGATCAACTAATACAGACTCTTAAAGCATTGGTTTATAATGTTAATCTTAGCTTTACTGAATGTAAACTAAATAAATTATCTCTAATATTAACACACAAAGCAATTTTAGTTCAACCTCCTTTAACATTCTACTATAGGTGTGTCAGTTTATGGCTTTATTGAAATTGCACACAAGAAACCAACTTACTGGAATAAAAATGTTCAAGTGATTTTTAATGCTAGACAAATGACATTTAAGTGAATTGACTAGCTTTATTAACTGTAAATCTGTCACTAAATGCTAAAACCTCTAAAATAAAAATAGAACATGATAAATCAAAGTTGCTACCTTCCAAAATGTTGCTTACACAATTCACTGAACTGTTGTCACTACATGATAATACGAATTATTGCATTACTTAACGATTTCTATGTAGATAAATAATTAAGCCAGAAATTCAACGTAAGGTTTATTTCTGTAAGACAGGCTTCATAAAAGTGACTAGGACTGGGATTAATGTCACATGCTATAACATACATGATACAACATTCTTACTGCAACACTCCTATTGTGAAAAGAAATAAATATTTTTATATAATTATGTAGTGTGTGATCTACACTCTAAAATCCGATTAACAGAAGTTATAGCCCAACTCACCAATTCCCAATACACAGCATGCCTATAAATGGCTCACAGGCAGTAAGCAGAATCAGAGAATATTTATTATATTTCATTTAAAGCTGAACCTGTAATAGTCCATAATGGTCTTGAAGAAATACTAATGGTGACGGTGGCTTGCTGTTTGAAAGAAATAATTCAGAAATCATGAATACAATCTAATTACAGTGCTGAGTGTTTGAAACTTAGAAATGCAGCATTTCACTGGTAAATTCCAGCCTTTTTTATTGATGGCATGACAAGGTTGCAATACCTGTACAGCAGGAAAGGTATTTGCAGCAACTAACATAAAACTGCTCCAGGAAAGCAGCATTTTTAAGTCACAAAATTGCTTAGCTGAGCAACTCACTAAAAATTTACTTCACCACCCTAAATGCTATAGAGCTAATGAAAAAAACAGTTAGAGTCTGGCATCTCTTGAGAACTCTAACAGAGCTACAGCTAACTTCCAATTACAATGTTAAATAATTGGTTATGATGCAAGAGGCAGAAAGCAGCTACTGAATCATAAGATCCTGGCTGTGCTTTAATTTAGAATATCACTTTTGCTTTGTAAAAGAAGAATTTACGATTAATTGTTCTCCTCCCTCTGCCACAGTACAACTGTTATAGGAGATTGCAAAGAACATTACAGCACTGAGAAAGGTAGACTAAAATCTTACAAAACCAGTAGACAGCAATGAAAAAAGGAAAAGAAAGGAAACGTCTGGAAGCTGAATATTCCAATGGAATCTAATAACTTTGGCCTAAGGTAATATAAAAAAATACCATAGTTTTTACAATAACAAATTTCATTCACAAGCACCTATTTAATCAACTGCCACAGAAACTAAAATTTCAAGTGTGACAAAAACCCAGCTATCAAAACTCACTGTAGTTTTGGTAATGTCAATGATTAAATTACTAGACAATATTAAGAAAGTTCAATATACTGCTGAACAAAAACAGAAGTTTCTGTACGAAAGAGTATTCAAGTATTCTGTGAAGGTGCTATTCCTAGGACCTATAAATATATTTTTCAGTTGTAACATTTCAGTGCCTCTTTTTAAATGAGTTGGCAATCAATCCCCTGTCAGCTGACAGAGACACAATCACATTGATGGAAAGGTGTTGCACATCCTTGAATCAAAATTATTTGTCTCAAATACATACATCTTCCAAACTACATGATCAAACGTTCTCTCAACCTCCACTTAAACCAAGCACCTCACTTAATCATGAACAGTTAAAAGAAACCAGCACGAAGCAAAACTGAAAACCAAGCCCACAATCACGAGGGCCTTCAACCAACACAGCTGCTGTGTTTATTCCTTGCTGTGTCTTGCTTCTTACTCCCTTTGCACCGTTTCTTATGCTTCTGATCCTGCGTTGAGCCACCAGTACATCCTCACAGAGGATACTTCCCTTTTTAATTAGGTTACTTAACTGCTTCATTATCACACTAGAAGAAGTACACAAACATTGCAAGATGAATACTGATCTGAGGCAGCAGATCAGCAGCACAAGCCAATAGGTACCACAGCTCTTATTCTGCATCCCTTCCATAGCCCAGCTGGGTGATACTGAGTACCTTGTACCTCTGTTAGTTCTGCTCTGCGACTTCCCATATCCTGCAAACTTGGGAAAGGGACACACATCTTATACTAGCTGGCATTGTTTACAAATACCAGAATTCAAATAAAACCCAAAACTTTCAGCAACAGCAAAAAGTCCATTAAGTTTAGGTCTCTATCAAATGGAAAATTTGAAATTTCACCAGTCACTGCTTCCAGGTTTGTTTTTTTTTTTAAATTGTTATCCTGATCTTTTTCACCATTTGCCAATTAGTTAAAAAAGAAAAAAAGACACAAAAAAAACCCCTGTCCTGAACAACTCATCAATTCTTACTCCCAACTGCAAAGACAGGTATCTCTGTAGTTTTGTAGTTGAAAAATCCAAGTGTTGTAAAACAGAATTTTCTTTTATCGGTTATTTAAAAAGTTATGTGACCACAGATTTATGTTTTCTCACTCCAAAACAGCAAATGCATTTAAATTCACACCTGTACAAACATGATATGGGAATGTGATGCAGGAGTACAGATACATTCACTTAGCCTATCTTCAGTCCTTGAAAATACGAGTCGTGTAATTTATGTCAGGTAATTTTTTGGGGCAACAGCACCTATGTAACCACCAAACTGCTAAAGCAAGGCAGTACACGACCAACGACACTACACAACCAGCTTAATGGCAGGATTGCCCATTTCAACTCCTACACAGTCTCAGGGCTAATTCTGCTGTAAAGGCACGTTTTTACACTGGAATGTAACTGGCACTTCAAGCAGCCACGAACTGGTCCTCCAAGCCTCCTTCTCTTTTCCGTTTCTGGCCATGCATGAATGCACTTACACTCGTTCTCCCAGCCCCTTGAGGCAGCCATGCAGCGAACTCTAAGGAAGAACTTGGTTAAACACAATCAGCTTTTACTTGGGGCAGGTACGAATACACCACTATATTTACACTACCAAAAAGCAAGAAAGAACAAGGAACTCCAAGAACATTTCTGGCAATTCTACCTGCAATAACAGCTTTAGAAACACCTGAAAAATTAAACTGTTCCTCAGGTTCATTAACTGAACCTATTTAATAGGTGAGACTGAGGGAAGGCCTCATCAGGGTCTACAACTTCTTCATGAGGGGAAGCAGAGGGACAGACACTGATTTCCTGTCTGAGGTGACTCGAGGGAATAGTCTGAAGTAGTGTTAAGGGAGGTTTACATTGGATATTAGAAAGAGGTTCTTCACCCAGAGGGTGGTTGGGCACTGGAACAGGCTCTCCAGAGAAGTGGTCACAGCACCAAGCCTGACAGAGTTCAAGAAGCATTTGGATGATACACTCAGTCAGATGGTGTGATTTTCGGGGCTATCCTGCATAGGGTCAGGAGTTGGACTTCAGAGCCTTGCGGGTTCCCTCTAACACAGAACACTCGATGATATTTCGGGCCACAGTCTTTCTGCCATTACTGCTAAGAAAAAGGCAAACTTTTCCAGTGCAGCTTTCTTGACAAGCACACTATGCACAAAGTCTGGGGTCATGTTCCCCACAAGAACACAAGCACTGTTTAGGCCATAAGGCAGGGCACCCCAGTACTTACGACTCATCCAGATCCTTCACAAAACCCGCGCCTGACGCCACCACATGTGCCACCACTGCGAGGTAAGGAGAAGCGTTCCGTGAGTGATGTCCGAGTCACCCCGGGGCTCTCACCCACGCCAAGTGACAGGCTCACCGCGCTGACAGCCGCCCCTCCTCCCTCGACCCTGGCCCCTCTCGCCTCCAGCGCTTCCCCACAGCCCAGCCCGCCCCGCCCCGCACCTGCCGCCCTGCTCCCAGCCTCCCCGCTTTTACCTCCCTCTATCCCCCCCGCCCAAGCCCGGAGGAGCTGCTGCCTCCCGCCCATCACCTGCCGCCCAGAGGAGGCCCCGCGTCCGCGCGCCCGCCGCCGCTGCCATGTTCCCGGGAGCCGCGGCACGGCCGGAACGGGAAGCGCCGACCTTTCCCCACGGCGCACGCGCGGAGGCCACGGGCGAGGGGCGGGAGGTGGTGGCGGCTTTGGGGGCGCTTCACGCAGGCGAGGGCGGTGGGTCTGGCTGAGGGCACGGTGACCCCCACTGTCCGGCCCGGCCCGGCCCTTGGAGGCAGCGAGCGGGGAGGCGAGTGTGACACCGTGACACGGGGCCGGGACGCGGCGCGGGTGGACGCTGTCATCTCCCCGGTGGGGAGACTCGTTCAGTTGGATCAATGCTCTGGTTCCTTGCAAAAAATAAACCACGTCCTCCTTTGAGCAGGAGCACGTGTGCCGTCTGTCGTGTTGCCCGCTGTCTGCCGTGGGTAGAGCTCATCCCGCACCACTTGGCTGCGGTTTCAGCAGCCCTCCTTCAGCTTGTGTGTGAAACACTTGTTCCCTGCTACTCTATGTCTCTAACTTTCTCTTTAGCTTCCCTCGTACAAATCTGTTTCAGTCTTTCCTGTTTTCAAGTACGTAATTTCTCTGTCAGTGCAGATCTGCAGGTCCTGAAAGGTCAAAGAATCCTGCTGTGAAAGGTTTTTTAAAAAGCTGAGTGAAAGCAGGGCTGGGATTGCTCAGCCTGGAAAAGAGAAGGCTTGGGGGATCCTAATCAATGTGTATAAGCATCTGAAGGGGGATGCAAACAGAACAAAGCCAGGCTCTTTCTGGTGGTGCCCACTGACAGGACAAAAGATAATGGGCATAAACTGAAACACAGAAGGTTCTCTCTGAACATCAGGAAGCACTTTTTCACTGTGAGCACTGCCTACCAGTCCTCCACCTCATAAGCCACCTGGACGTGGTCCTAAGCAAACAGCTCTGGATGGTCCTGTTTGAGCAGGGGTTTTGGACCAAATGACCTCCAGATGTCCCTCCCAACCTCAGCCATTCTGTGATTCTATGTTCTGTTCCTTCTCAGTTTTGACTCCTGCAGTCTAAGTTCTTACATACACCTTTCTGCCTATGGCAGAATTACTTTCTTCAGCTGTACATGCAAATGTTTGAGATTGTTGTTGGAAACAGAATTTGCCTCTGTATGCATGTGTGTGGTGCATACCTGCTAGTATTTACATGTATGTGGATACATGTTCTCCTCCTGGCTGTTCATTACCTTCCTCACTAGGCCATACCTAGTCTGGCAAAGACCTCCTCTTCAATTAATGCTTTGTGGGTAAAGTATGTTGGATTCATCAAATGATTCCCAGAGTTGTCCACTCATTGGAAAAGCTAACTTCCATAAGTCCATTGGCTGAGAAACAGGTCAAGGCCTGAGAGTATATGCCATAGCTCACATTAGAATTCTAAAGTATCTGACTGGCCTATGGTAGACATATTTTTTCTTACCTGTATTTCACTGAGGGATTATACAGCATTAGGTCTTAAAAAGACTATTTCACTTTTTTTTTCCCCCTAATCACCCTCCCCCCTGCCCCCAGCTAATAAGTTCCTAACATCTGTGGTGGATAAATTGTTAAAATTATTCATTGAAAGCAGAGAATTTCTTTTCCATGCATTTCACTTTCTGTATACCACAGTTAGCTAAATACCGTCTGTATGCCTGATCAAATGAAAGCTGGCATCTTTTTGATCTTAATCTAGCTGCTGTCTAGACTGAGACAATGAAAACAATTTACTCCATCAGTCCTTTAGTAGAAAATCCATACTGGAGAAAATGAGGATAGCCAAGTAACTGTTAAATTAGTATAATCCTGTTTTCTTACTCAGACAGTTCATAGTCGGCTTTAAATAACTTTTGAAGTGAAATAAACATTTTATATAGTTTTGTATGGATTTGAATAAATTCCTCTAGATCCTATTTGTTAGCTTTGAAGTTTATTCTCTTTGCAAATAATGGAATATGATTGTTAAGCTTTTGCATTTGGCAAGCCAGGGTTGTCTTCTGCAATAGAGTACGAGCCTGTATTCTTGAAATATTTTATCTTGAAATTGAAGGAGTCACTTTATATTTACTTCTTTGTAATTAAATTTATGTACACCCACATACACAACACTGTGCTATATTTATTTATACAGTTTTTTATGAAGTTTTACTGCATAAAATGTATATAAAAGATAGTTCTTGCTCTGCAGCCAAGTAAAAGTATTGTGGGAACAGCATATAACATGCAAAACAAATAAACTGGATAATAATGGATGAGGTCTAGAGAAATGTCAAGGGGTTTTTGTGTTTTTCTTATTTCTACTATGAATATTTCATTTGAAAAAGATACAGGATTAATGTATTACTGTTAATAGATTACTAAATTCCTAAATTCACTGGAGAACTTAGTGTAGAAAAGGGATGATTTGGTATATGCACAATACTATCGAAATCCTGCGAGGTACTGCAGGAAAAAGTGGGAATTATAGGGAGATCAGTAATCAATGAAACATTGGAAACTGAACATCAAGGGTTCAAAGATTCCTTCCAATCCATATAGTGTAGGAACATTTAATGGTCCTGCTGTCCCAAAGAGTAGGTTTGGTTTTTTTTCAACCTGTTAGACAGGGAAATTCAACAAAGACAAGTTCCAAGCTTTGCCCCATGGCCTGCTGAAGGTGGTTCTACAGTGCAATTTTGCTGTTGCAAGATTTTCGATCTGTTTGAGCAGTCTGTCCACTCTTCTTGACCTGTATGAAGGACAGGGAAAAGGATGGTTTACCTGTAGCTCCATCTAAATTATACAGTGCAGACTTAGTTTTACTGGAATCTGTGTACTTTTGCTTTAAGAGAAATAATCTCTTTCAAATAAATTTCTGTCTAAGATTCATTACCTTGTAAACAGAATATCAAGGTTGATTTCAATACAGATTTGCATAAATAAAATACTTAGATTATTAAAATTCTTTTATGCATCTTTATTATTATACAGTGGATAATGTATCCATGACACCATACTAAAGGAGACTTCCCAGCACTGCCCAGCCAGGCATGAAAGGTTGTATGGAAGGATCAGATTAAAAATATAGGAAGGGGATGGAAGAGTAGAAAGAAAGAAGAAAGATGTGGGAAAAAGAGGAAAGAAATCAAAATGAGAGCTTGGACAAGAAAAGGAGGCACAGAGGAAGATGTAAGAGTGTTCTGATGGACGAAGTTTTGGAGGTAGGTTTGGTGGTCAATTAATAATGTGGCCCACACCAAGAGCTTATGGTGTGGCCCACACCGAGAAGTTAAGAAAAGTCAAGAACCTGAGATGTGGAAAAGACAACAGGTTCTATCTAATGAAGAAGGCAAACCAAGAAATTCACATACCTTCTAATTTTGCAGCCATTAGTATCCCTCAATGATGCTACTATTTTGGGGTATATATTACTATTTGTTTTATATAAATTTTACTGTATATTTTTATTTCATTGTATCTTATGTACTAGATATATTTGCTATTATATGAAATTTGTAAACATCAAAATGGCGTTTCTGAACATTTGCACAAAGATTTTATACAAAAAGTTTTTCAGCTATTCATGTTTTCCTTTCGGTTGTGTGAAATCTGAGAAAGTGTGGGAAAATATATATTTTAATTTTCGTAGAAGTAGTCCAAGAAATAGCTTAGTAATTTCAAAATTAAAAGAGATTTTTGAAAGTATAGAAAAATATATTTTCTATTACTTCATAAGGAACAGATGTTCTGTATTTCAAGAATATTCACCTCCTTGGTATTTACCTTTTATCAAAAAGTTAAAATTACAGCGCTCACAATTAAGAATTGGTGTCAAGACATGTTAAGCAGAACAAAAATCCGAATATTACTCAAATAGCTTTTGATATGAACCACGTGGACTGCCATAATGAAGAAGGAGAGAGGATATGTACTTTAATTCAAAAGAGATAAGTGCACATTTGTGAATAAACACTTACCCTGTTGTTATATTTTTAGAAAACACATCTGTCCACTTGTATAACTACATGCCAGCAACAGAAGTGTTTGTCTTCATGTGTAATACCAGTACTATCACAAACAAGATCATCAGTAATTGCATCATTCAGTATTGAATGTTTTAATGCACAATATGCTGCTATAAATAGTTGATATCAGTGTTCTTTATTTCTCTTTTACTACAAGAATAAGCTGTACTGATATTTAGTATCTTCCTATAGTGACTGCACCTATGATAGTGGGTCCATACCAGCTTATTTGTGTCAGTATCTGTCTGTGCCATAAAATGAACTAACCAGTAACACATTTTTCATGAATCATAATTAAATTCAAAGTACTAATAAACTTGTACTGAAATAAATTCATGTTTAATTAGAAGAACACATGATCTGGCACACTTTGGGGACTTTTTACGTGCCTTGCATGAGAATGCTTGCAGGTTTTGCAAGGTGCAACATGAAGTAGAATCTGAATTAAAAACATAATTTTGATCACACTAAGACTGTTGACACTGGCAGTAGGACTTGTCTGGTCCTGCATTAACAATTCGCCTTTCCATATAACTTTAGTTTAAAATTCAACTGATCCTTAGAGTTTGGGGCTTTTTTCGTTTGGTTGGTTCTTTTTGGGGGTTTTGTTAATTTTGTTTGTTTGTTTTTTTTGGGTGGAGGGTTATGTGTGTGTGTGTTGAAGATTGATTTTTTTTTTTCTTTAGCATTATATTTTTATTTTTGTATATTTATATGCATTCCTTTTATTACAGAGACACCTGGTGGCCTTTGGGTGTATTTACAGAAACATTTTTCTTTTTTTTTTTTTTTACTGGATTTGCTTTATCATTTATATATCACTTATTTAGAACCTCCTCCGTTATGGTACTATATAATTTGCAAATCAAATTGAGAACACTTACACATTATCCAACATGTACTAGATATTGATACTCATGGCTGATCATGATTATTTTTCTAGAATCTTCCCTGCCAGAGCTGTATGCAAGAGAGATTTGAGCATATTATAGACTAAGTGGAGTAAAAACATATTTCTTCCAGAATTTAATTTTTAGAATAATAGGTATTTGGTTTTCATGTTTTCAGTATCC